AACACTGTAAGATAAACACTGTAAGATAAAAGATAAAACCAAGATAAGCTCACTGTTTTTTAAATGCTGTTTATTTCTAGATGAGGTTTCTTCAGAAGATTCAGATACTTCTGATAAAGGTAAAGTGTTTGAATATCTTCTGAATCTTGTTATATTTGATAAGGTGGTAAGAAAACTATGTTGAAAACAAGCAGACATAGATGGGTCAGCATAATTACTTGGAAGTCTTGGAGGAAAACTAATGGATTTTGAGAAGAAAATGTTTTAAATTTAAGCAAGGAAGAAAATTGTGGGTGGATAATAAAATGAAAATAGTCATAAAAATAAGGGTCTAGGTTGTTCCAGGAAAGAGTAGACGGTGCAACTACATGGTACACGAATATGTGCTATGTAAAGAACTTTTCTAATTAGTAACTATTACTTTTACTGAACAACACAAATAAGTGTTCAACTCAAAATGTTAATAGGAGAGCACTGGGAGAAGAAACTATGCCAAATAAATTCTAGGCTTTAGCCTGAGTCTTTTGCAGCTACCACTATTACTGTCTCAGAGACCCATTGCAGATAGATGTGCTGAGTCTCAGTGACTCTGTAGGCAGTGGTTATCTTGCCTATATCTCAGTAATTCCAGTCCCTACTTCTTTTTAAGATGAAATAAGCCTCATCTTTTGGACATCTTAATTCCTGTTGCAGACTCTTTGGAAAGATCTGAGTGTTTCTGTTGATGCTCTGTTGTGTCATATACTTTTGAGAATGGCCTTACAGATGCAGGAAGACCCAAAACAGTTTTCTGCTGACTCAAGTCATGCCCAAATTCTGTATAGAAAGTTTTCAGGTTTTTTTAAGTCAAGAGATTTCTAATAATGAGATTTTAATTTTCTTTTCTACCCTTCTCTATAGTTATATGGAACAGTTAGGCACTAATTGATAGTTTGTTGCAATTTCACTGATAAGCTGAGGTTGATGAAAGTTGTTCTTCAAGTAGAAAGTAAAGTCATTGATTCATTGAACATCACGAGTTTCTATATTGTAATACAAATATATTGTAATTCTGGGTTTGTGATTATGAAGCTATAATTTTATGAACAAAGTGCAGTGCAGCCTCTGTGTCAAGATCAGCATTCTGACATGATTGTTGCTATGTTTGGCCAAAGTATCAGTTCAATGGTGTCTAAAAGTCTTCTTGATGTTGTATTGAGTAAGATTGGCGAATGTTTTAGTTTTTGCATCATGCAATATTAATCATGTTATTTATCATCAGGATTACAACGAAATGTTTCTCTTAGCCAACAACTATTAAAAAAAAAATTGCTGAATTCTTTCAAAGTATATTAGTTAAGCACTCTGAATTTTTTTAGCAGATTCAGATAACAGTGATGCACAAGATGGTCCTTCAGATGCTGATTTTTGGAAAGGTCCTCTGCAAGAAACAGATGAAAAATCACGGTTAGTTTGAACAACCAGTAAGCTTTTGTCTTGTAGACGTATTGTGACCATTCAGAACTGCAAAGGCAGAGGCTTTTCCTGAGTATTTTAATGATAGTCTAACATCTAAAGTTGCTTTAAATCTCCTAAGAATATTGTTATGTTTTTTGGTTTGTTTTTTTTTTTTTAACTGGACATATATACAATACCAGAGGAGAAACCTTTATCAAGCAGCTATCTTACCATCTCTGTCTTATCCTGTGCTTGCATCCTATTAACCAGTAAATCTTAACAGTCAACTCATTCTGTTGCACAAAAAAAGAAATGTGATGGGCATGCGAATGTAGTGAATAAGTAAAACTTATGTATACCAGGTACATACTTTAACCAGAAATCTGCTAAATTTTGTTATCTCCTTGACATATTTCTATTTTTTTTTTACAGAGAGGAAGAGTTTGATGAATATTTTCAGGACTTGTTTCTCTGAAACTTGACATTGATGGGGTTTGATTTTTGTTGTTGTTATTGCTGTGAATTGTCAAGATAAGTGTTTGGAAATTCAGTTGTAAGTAGAGACCAGAGACCTCTTCCCAACAGCATGCCTTTTCTACAGTCACTCCATATGGACCATCTGAGTGAATTGTCTCTGCAGGAGGCTTCAGGGCTGAAAGTTTTCTTTTTTTCCTTTGTTTTTGGGGGGTAGGCCTGTATACTCATGCAGTACAAGAAATGTACTCAGGAAGTACAAGCTGAAGGTATGTGACAAGGTAACATAAAAGTAGGAAGAATATAGAAAAATAAGAACATACTTTATTCTCAGTGCACTACAGGAGATGGCTGTTCTTTATTCTATCCCAAATTTCAGCTACTGCCAGATTATTTCAGATGATTATAATCATTAGTTTAAAAACATATACTTCAAAATACTTGTACTTATAGTTTATTGAACTATAGTTAATAGCTTTAAATGTATTAGTTGTGTAGACTTTAATATTAAGATATGAATCTGTGTGGCTGCAGATACTGTTAGAGAAGTTCACTTTAGTTAAGCATGTATTTTGCTTGGAATTTAAGTAAACCATATCTGAAATGTCTCTGGTCTTCCTTAAAAAGCTACGTTCATTATGACCTTGGTTTAAATTTTAGTTATGATATGTTGTGACTGATAATTCCACTCATTAATAAAAATCTGAATTGTTCTCAATGTTGTTGACATCTTTGATTTAATAAATAAATAATGTGGCTTGCCACTGGACATGTACACGTGGCTTGTATGTTATCTGTGGTTTCTGATCTCCTTAGCATTGATTGAATGCTAATCCTTCTTTAACGTGTAATCCTGAACATACAAGTAAAGAATGTATAGTGTTTGAGAAACTTACTGGATTCATCTTCATTTTCAAATGCAGCACAGCACAAAACATTCTTTACTGTATGTTTCTAAAGAAATATTCTGCTTATGTATAGGTATGGCAGACATTTTCAGATTAAAATTACTTTGGATATAAAGGACAAACTTTTTTGAATTAAGTGTTCATGTAAAACAAACTGAGGAAAGTTAATGTAGAAAATATATCTTTATAAGTGCTTTCTACTGTAGATACATTTATAGAATGTATTTATAATTATTTTTTTGGTAATGTAACAGCAGGGACAGTTGCAGTGTGATTACGAATATTTTACATGTACTCATAGTAGAGAGCTTTATTTACAAGTATTTATTAACATAATTAATTTTAAGCAGTTTGTGCTTACATAATAGATGACAGTACAAGGACATATTTAGGATGTCCTTGAGCAACAAATAAATGTAGCCTTGCATGAAGGCTTCTTTAGGTAAGAAGGTGGATTTAAAGGTTAATTCTCTGTCATCTTGCAAGCTTGGTTGAGAGCCAAATCCAATCTGCAGCAATCTGCTTACATGTATGCAACTTGCCTTAACGAGTTTTGTTGAAAGTTGCTGTAAGTATTGTATATTAGGTGTGCGTTCTGGGTTAACTAGCTCTGCTTTGAGTCTTCAGAATATGTTTATAAAGTGGTACAGAATACATATTAAATACATCATTTAATACAGTATGAATAAAGTTACACGATCAAACAACTTTGGAATAGCTTTCTTTTGTATCTACATGAAATACAGGAAATAATACACGATATCCAGTTTTATGTCATAACCAAGTTTGCATAAAATACTTGGCCCATTTGTAAAGAAGGACGTAATCAGTGGGAAACTGTGTGGATTCCTTTTAATTTTGAGCGATATGCATGTATCTATCTTCATAGCATTCTTAGAAAGGTATATAATATAATTAATTTTTCAGTCCTCCCTTCTCTTGATGCTGAGGGCTCTTCAGAGGAAAAAAATGAAATTGTATGATTCTTCTTTGTTTAAAGTGGGGAGAAAAGTGTTAGGATTGGGTCTCCTTGTAAAACTTGTTTGTTGCAGGAGTCATTTCTGACCTCCAGATTCTCTTAGGTTTGGAATTGGTTCCACTGAATGTTCAGATACATGTGTGATATAGTAGCTATTTTCCTTCCTTATCTGGAGTAGGAGGTGACCTCATGGGACCTGAATAGAAGGAATGGAGCGATCTCTGTCACGCTTTAACAGCTGATGGTTTTTGTAGGGAGACTGTTGTTTACGAAAGGCTAATTTGTGTGCAGTCTGTCTTAGTTGTGGAAATGTGAATTTTGATGTGCTCTACTTGTGCTATTCTCTGCCTCCCCAGACTGAATTTGTGCCATTCATTGGTTTTCAGATACTAGAAAATTCTGTTCATTTTACTGCATTTTAAAGGAGGTGCATTGGATGTAATGCATTTGAATGTGGAACCTGCTGTAGATGTAGCTACATAGATGCACAATGTTTGTAGTGCATCTTTTTAGATTTGTAAAATAAAAAGTACTCAGTTTGAGAACTGTGGGCAGAGACATCGTGGGTTAAGGAGTGGCTTCTCCAAGTGCTGACTGTAATTTGCAGATTTATCCATGGTAGTTTTGAAAAAAGTCTGTGCATCATGGACCTGCTTTTTATACATACACGATAGGGAATTGTGTTTAGCTCTCCTAAAGTAAAGGAAACTTTTGCCCCAAAGCTGTACTTAGTTTGCTGGAAGAGGACAGAATTCCAGATTGAGTAAGTACACGTAATATAAAAATCTAAATATACAAGTTACTAAAACTGATTTTTTTTTGATTGAATTGTGCATGTTAGATTTCATTCAGTAATTTCATGTAAGATCTATCAATTTTTTTTTTCTGGACAGTGCAGAAGTTACTTATTTTAATTAAAATACTGGATATAAATTGAGTGACATGAAAAAGTTCTAGAGTGGACATTTATGTATTTTGCACCACTGCTTATTTTTTCTTCTGTCTTTTGCTTTTTCAGTTTTTAATTATAACTGGGTTTTTTTATTCCAGTAAAAATTATTTCCAACAAATGGCAACTGTTTAAGAGGATTGTTAAGAGATTGATCTAGACTATTCTATGCGAAGCAGAAATCCACTCGGCTCCTTGAAGTTCTTTCTAGATGTCTTTTCTGTAGCAGAAACAGTGTCTTTGAGACAAAGAATTACAAAATTATACATGTTTTGGATTTTCCATCCTCTCCACTTCCACCTCCAGCTGCATTTTCAGCTAAAAAACAGAAAAGAAAAGTAAAGTGAGTACTTTCTGTTGCTTTCAGTTGCTTTAACTTCTTGTTTTAAAAGCACTGCTTTTGTGATAAGGACATCATGTATGTTTGACTTTCTGAAAGTGGAACATGTTTTCACTACTTGTTTGGGAAATTGGAGCATGCAACAACTATACATGTTATATATACCTATACATATATGATGTAGCAATTGATACCAACATTTCTCAATGGACCAAACACACTGAACCACTCTTACTGGAAAGTTTCAGTACTTTATGTAAGTCTGTCCCACACATTCAAAACTGAGGTATGCAAGCCATGCTAAAGAAAAAAAAAAGTCTTGAATTAATATAATCTTGGAAACTATTTTTGAAGAAGATGATACAAAAGCTTTAATTTGACCTAGTTGTATAAACTTAAGAGTTTATATCCAACTTATCCAACCCTACATGAATCCCTTGGTAACAATCAATTAAGATAGAGAGACTGTTTTTTAATACTTTATAGCAACTGATTTTGTTAATGTCTCTCTCAAATGATTCCACAGATGTTTATTGGTCATAGTTAAGGTTGTTTCAATGTAATAAGTTGCGTTTCCAGATTCATTTAAGGTAAGATACCAATATTAGAATTAAAACTTACATTTGAAAGCTGTGGATCACCATGTTACTTAGGTCATTTTCGACCCTTTCCACCTGCATTGAAACATGTCACATAATCAGTGTCCTACCCTCTGTAATTTGTGGATATAATCAACACTACGTTACTAAATATGTATTTCAATTTCATAGTTCAATACTGTATTCTGCTTTCTGTTCTGAACTTTCCACTGTAGTGGTTCAGCAAATATGTTTATTTTGTTTTCTGCCTACTGAATGGCTCAGAATAGCCAGGTCAGTGTGATCTAGAGATGACCGTGGTTCAGCATGCATCATATTACTGTTTGTATGAACTGACTTTAACAAAGGTATATATTTACATGGCCTTGATTTTGACAGTGTCAGATCTGTTCTTCACAAATATGCACGGTCTCATTCCAGTGCACATTTAAAAGAGACAAAATAATTCACTTACACTTTTTTGATGCCAACTATGATAAGCAAAGAAGTCCAGATCCTTAGCTCCTGTAAATCAGTCTGTTTATGTTAGCCTATGTGAGGTGCCTTGTGGGAAAATACTTATTTCTCTAAATCAGTGATGTAAGGACTCCAGAATACCAATGATGTGAGAAAGTCTGAACTTCAAGTGGAAGCAGTGGGAGTCAAGTCCTAAGTTCGTAAATCATTATTTTATTTTTAGCTCAGAAGAACCTTATGCTTAAGGGCATAGGATAAGATTTCAATAACTATTCCCTTTGCAAAAAATGCAAATATGTAAGGAGGTTTCTGTGCAGGTCCTGGATTAGTTTGGTTTCTGTTGGCACTTCTGCAAAATTCAGATGCTTATGTTCCAGTGTTCTTATCCAGAACCAGCTAGTTGTTGAGCAGATGATGAGATTTATTGGCCAAAAAAAAAAAAGAGTGTATTTTAAAATAAATCTGGGGGAGAATGGGATGGGCCTAATTCCTCTGAAACTGTAAGTGATGCAACAATGCTTGTTTGAATTTTAGCATAGTAGCACTGATTTCATGAGCTAATTATTTTCCAGTTATACTTCAAATTCTGACAGTAACTTGATACATAGCCTTGAATAACCTCTCTTTTAATGTGAAATCTGGTTAATACTCACCTATTTCCCACAGATACTGATTAACAAATAATTGTGTACTGTTTTATGTTTTAAAGACCTAAAATACACTATTAGAACAAACTAACTTTTTTCTTTAACTGACAGTAAATCATTCTCTAAAAATCACGTTTTTCTTTTAATCTCTGAATCTTTTCATTTCAGCTGATTATTAAAGCTGATATTTCAAATGCAGTACAGAACTAAAAAAAATAACTAATTTCACTCTTACATTTGAGTTAGAATTGAGGTTTTCAGTTTATATAAAACTTGGATTGTCATTTGGGTCATCATATGCAAAACCATACTTTCAATTTTAAGTCTTAGAAAGATTAGCGTTACATTTGCACCATGAGAGAACATATTTTAGCCAAGAAACCGATGGTAAGAAACTAGAGCCAAAAGCTTGATCTCAAATTTGGAAGAGTAGTGGGGCTTGTGTTGTTCCAAGTGCATACTCCATTCTCATCTCCTATCCTTGTATTTTTATTTTCAGCTTAAACAAAGCACCAGAATACGTTTGAGAGCTGATACCATGCAGCATTTCAATACAATTCATATTTCAGATGATTGTAGCATTCACAGATAAATAGAGGTGGTTAATTATGTTCAGTTTTATGTCTTAAGACAAAATAAATTTTACAGTCACTTCACTTCTGTGATGGTCGTGTTTTCTGTAATTGTACTGCTTAGAAAATAAGGTCAGTGTATTGGATTTGTGTAATTTTGAAAGGTAACTCCTCTTCCAACTAAAGACAAAGCTAATCCGGCTAAGTCATAACTCAAATACTGTTAGTGTAAAGAATATTGTAAATTTTACCATATGTGTGAATTACAGAGAGAAGAACTACCTATATGGATATATGAATGAAAAAATCAGAAGTTATTTAACCTTTTTTGGCAGCTGCTTCTTCTTCCTTTTTCTTTTGTTCCTCAATAACTTTCATCTTCTCTTCATATTCATCAGCTCTAGTTTTCCATTCAACCCTGTTGTTCTGAAGACCGTCAAACATGGGTGTAATTTCCTTGTGAAATCTTGAGAATTCCTACGCAAGCAATTGAATTTAATGAATTAGAAATATGAAAACACTGTTGATTTGTAAAGTACGAATTTCTGGAAATGCTGCTTTGTGGAGAAAGCATTTGCTTTAATTTTTCTATTAAAATTATTATTTCTGTTTGTATGCTGTATAAATTAATTTTAATTGATAGTTTGTGGTTTTGATTTGTTTGTTTGTTTGTTTTGCAACTACTTGTTCCATTTCTATTAGCTGGTTTTCTATAGAATTGAAAAGAAGTTTTATAATAATGCCACTATCTGCCAGTGCATGTTTGTGAGTGTATTTTTGGCCAAGCCATGGTGGCATATTATTGAAAAGATTGTGTTGGGATAATAATGACATATTGCACCCACACTGTTAGAATATATCTGAATTATGTGTTGCACATTTTAGTATCTTCCCTAAATTCACATTTGAAAGTCTGGTTAATATAATACAATTATAACTTTGATACCTGATATTTCCTGATATGTTTATCAATATCAGGATATACAGAAAGTCCAGTATTTTGTAGTATATTCTAGGCAGATTAGGATGTACCTAATTATATTGAAATATTGGATGATACTCTTCTGAGTAATATTTTGAGATCATGTTAAAAGCTACGTGCAGATTAAGAAAGTTGGCATTAAGGTGCTTTCCAGAAAATATACAATGGCTGTTTGTACAGAACACTGTGAATTTTCTGTTCATTTAAGTGTGCCATTAACTGATTTCTGTAATCATCTACATGTCACATATTTATATTAAGTGGGACTCCTGCAACTGTCTAAAATTTTTTAGTGCAATTGTTGGTCATTAGTTGTTCCATCAGAACTGCTTCAGTGGGAAAACAAACCAAAAAAAATGTTCTTACCTTGTACACAAAAGTGCACACAAAATCTATGAAACCAACTTGGAGCTTAGGTAGTTCATCACCTTTGTTTCTGTCCATCATGGGCTGGAACAGAATAGCAGTAATTTAGATCATGCAGAGATCATGCTTTTGGTTATAATGAACTAATAATCATTGTTGACGATTATCTATCCAGTATTTAAATAATAGACAATATTGTTTAACACATTTAAATTATTTAGTGCTTACAATTGGTTGTTGCTGTAGTACAGTTCGTTCCAGGTCACCTTGCTCCCAAAATTCATTTGCAACCATGAGGGCAACCTGAAAAATCATAATTCAAAGGAAATGTAAGCTATAAACAATAGATCCGAATGAATAAATAAATGAAGGAAGGCAAGAACAAGGCTTTCCAGAAAAAATAATAATAATAATGTTGATTTTCTCAGAACTGGCATATTACTGTTTAAATAAACATATTGTCAATTTACCACTAAACTATTATTACTAACTTCACATCCACTGAAGAGGATATATTGTGCTATTTTGCTAGCTGTGTTATTTCTGAGTAGCTTAAAAAGTTCTCCAGAAATACAGAGTTTTAGTCAAAGACAATAGAATTCTACCATTTAATCCTTGAGAGAGTTGAGCACTTCTGTCAGGAATTGTAAACACTTTCTGGTGTATTTAAGGCTTTCTGCAGAAAATGATTATCTTCCATTTTTACATGCTGGTGCACACTATTTAAAAGATAGATTTGGGAGTTGAAATTAGATGATCTCCAAGGGACAAACCCAAGTCAATCTATGATTCTATGTTTTTATGATTATCATAATCAGCAGTACCATGACAATATTAGCAACACAACAGAATCTGTTAGTTCCTGCGATGCATAAAATCTTGAAATCATTGAATGGCTTGGGTTGGAAGGGACCTTAAAGCCCATCCAATTCCAAACCCCCTCCACTGGCAGGGTCGCCACCCACTAGATCAGGCTGTCCAGGGCCCCATCCAACCTGGCCTTGAACGCTTCCATTGATGGGGCATCCACAGCTTTCCTAGGCAGTCTGTTTCAGTAACTCACCACCCTCTGAGTAAAAGGTTTCCCTTCTTAGAAATTACTTAGAAGACTCCATAACCATCTTGTGTTTTGATTATGCATTGCTAAAACCTATACCTGTAAAATTAATGGATGAGTTTGAGCCTGACGGTCAGTAAGTACTGAAGTATTTGAAGTACTTAACTGCTAGGCAGTGTCACATTGTATTACTGAATTTATTCTTAGCATGATCAAGCTACTTCGAAACACTAAGATCTACAGAATAGGCAATTTTATTCATTTTTTTCTGTTGTGAAATCTGTACCTTAGATACACCTGAAAAATAGCAAAAGTTGGATTACACTAATGTAGTGTAGTAACATTTAAGGACAGCTAGAACAGCTGACAGATTTGGAAAGGGCAGTTTTAGCTGACTGACAAGTAGAAAAGAGGAGATAGCCCTTGCACTCTCAGTGACAGAAGCACAGAGGTTGATTTTTAGAAGGGCAGTTGGGTGCAAATAGTTATATATCTATCAAATTATAATAAGTATTGTGTTTGGGTCATGACATCAGGCACAAGTGGGCAACAAAACATAGCAAATGGGATTTTTGGCTTGAAAAGTACTTACCTTACTTTGTACCTCCCAAGGCTTGGTTATAGCAGACAAGTCACATCCGGTCATCATCATAGCCCTTTAAAAGGAAGGAGTAAAAATAATTAGAATGATGAAAGAAAAAACTAACAAACAAACAAAAAGCAACAACAGCAATTAAAAAAAGCCACCAGCAAAAGATCCATATTTTAAGCTATTTAGATACACAAGATGCAGTTAGATGCACTTTTTGAGAAGACATTTAAATTCATGGTTATGCTCATCATCAGATGATAACAACAAATCTCAATTTGCATATCTAGATGCCCAAATACTTTTGAAATCTGTTTGTAGTTAATTGATTGAATAAAGAGCAATATATTAACCACCTACATGATGACTTCTTTTTTGGTTGGATCAATAGATATATATTTAATTGCCTCCTCTTCTGTTTCCATTTTTTCAATTGCATCCACAATCTTTTGAAACATAGTCCTTTTCCTGTGAAAACATACAGATAAACCATATGTTAGTAAACAAAAATCCTGCATTATGAATAAAACAAAATAAATCCCATATTTCTCACATACATGCTTTTCCAAAGTTGCATCCTAGTCATAGTAGTCTCAAAGTGATACCTTCTTCCCCCTGAACTCCAAGTTTCCAGTTAACCTAACACATTTATATTTTGCTGTATACCCCTGATATATGAAGCACTATTTCAAAGTTTCTGACAAAGATTCAAGTAACAAGTTTCATGACTCTGCTTATTAAACTGTTCAAAGTGACATTAATGTTTCTTTAGTATTATGTTTTCCTACATAATATTCCTTCCAGCAATGTAATGAATCGGGAAAAGAGAAGCAAATACTAACAACTGTCCCCTCAAATATTCTAAAAAATCCTTGAAACTTGACTGAGAGGTACTCTGAAAAATTTGTCTTATTACTGCTTAATGAATCTTATTTCAAATGAAAGAAATAATGGGGTTAGTTTTTATTGAAATTTAGTAACGGCCACTGAACATCTAACTGAATTGTTTCCTGTTCCTAGTTTTAAATCATCCCACTCATGAGGCATCTGGACCAACCAACCAACAAACAAACAATAGTCTCACTAACCTTTGCAAAAACAAGATAATAAAGTTGGGTGAATATTTTTTTATTTGAGGTCTTTGGCATATTTAGCATTGGGATCAGTTGATGTCTGTTTTTAACCCAGAATCTCAATTTCTTTTTCATAAGCATGCTCCTGTTCAATATGAGTAATCGCAGTATGGTACACTAACTATCACACATGCAGACAACTTTATCATTAGGCTACATAATTTACAATTCTGAAATATATCTGCTGTAATTTAATGCATATTTGAATTACCTGCTAGATGCATACAAAGTATTATAGACACGTTTTGAAATTTGAAAGATTATAATGAAGATAAGAATGTCTTGGTTTTTTTTAAATGAGAATTAGACTTACTAAAATACAGCTCTGTACTCTGCATATAACAAGCAAAAACTACAGCTGTAAATAGCATAGGACTGACATTTTTTCAGTAGGAAGTTACACAGAATTTAGTACTTACTTGAAATACAAAGCCAAGTCAGTTGCTATTATTGCAACTTCAAATAAGTGTAGAACGGTTTCAAACTGGCGCTTATTTAGGTTCTGGAAGATGTTTAAACTCTGCAAGATGGAAAGTTTACGAATTCAATTCCTCTTATAAAACTGTCTTTGCTTTGTACTCTATAGGCTGCCCCATAGGACAGTATATCAGAACTGTATGTATGTTCAACTATACGCTCTAAATCAAAATAACACTACAAATGAAAAGTTCTCCAGAGGTGGCCCTCATTCAGGAGTAGTTCTTAAGCTTTTAAATACTGTTATTTCTATCAGTTACAGCTGCAGAAATGTCTGAGAATGAGATACAAATATGCATATCCTGGTGTATATTTTTCACAACCATCTCATATATACTAACCAAATCCTTTTAAACCACCTTTTAAGAGGAAAGATGGAAAAGTGAAAAATGCTTTTGGAAAAAGAAAAGCAGGATCAGCTGGCATAGAAGCTGGGAGAGAGAACTAGAAGGAATTGCATTGGGACTGCATGGAATCATTAAGGTTGGACGGGATCAGAACAAATGGCTAAATACTGTGTAGGGAGATCGAAATTCCTGCCTCCAGAGGCTGCACAAATAACTAAATTCATATTGACTTGGTCTGCTATTGTTAAGTTTAAATTAAAATCAAATAAAATCACCTATATTCTATATAATTCATCAAGAAGTGGCTGCTTTTCCTTGTTTCTTTGCCAGTCACATCCATGGACCTGAGAGTTTTTCCAGACCTCTTCTTCCTGTTAGCCTGGCTTAGCACAATTGCCTGTGGGTTATTAGGGCCCTGCTTCTGTAAAGTGCAGCGTCCTTTTTCCCAAGCAAAGGGAATGCAAGCACCACACCCCAGTTTTCCTTCTGTTTTTAACTGAGGTGAGCAGGGGCGTCGTGGTTCCCCTGTTCAGCACCCTCAAAATACTGACCACCAAAAATCAATGGTTGCTCCCCAGCATCTCACAATTGAAAAAGTGCCCCATCTCCATCAATAAAGGTAATTTTATTTTTTTTTTTTAAAGTAACAGATCTGTTTTGTGTTCTCAGATGTTTTTCTCAGATGTAGAAGTGAGTGCCTTCCATACTGCTTGCTGCAAACAAGTGGGATGGAAGATCCTTGAGATTTCAGGTGTACACAGTTATATATTTTTATTATTTCCCTGAAAAAAAATATCTAGTAAATAGTTTTAAATAGACTTTTTGCCCGTAGCCCGGAGCCAGGCTCTGCTGAGGGAGGAATGGCTGTCCTATGCAGGAGGTACAGGGCTCTGCAGGGCCGACATTTTGTTGAGCCTGAGGGAAGCAAGATGGCGCCGCCATAGCCCTGTGGGAACACCTGTGCCCATCCACAGAGCGGAGCAGAACTCTGAAATGTGGCAGCAAAAAGCCAGAGGAACTAAACTCAGACCTAACCTGCAGCTGTTTAATTGCAGTACCTTGTGTTTTCTACACCAACTTCAGCTGTTTGTGAGAGGCATGCGAGTGAGGCCTACAGGACAAGCTGCTTTTCTCTACAAGTGGGCAGTGAGTAAGAATTTGGTTTAAACTTCTGAATTTGAGCACAATTTCTTAATCGGGAATTAGAGAAATGAATAAGACCTGTAAACAATTTGTCGTTTATTTGGATCTTTTGTGTTGATTGCTGTAAGCAGAAGATTCATGCAAACATACCTCATCTTGCAGTAGGGTTTTACTGTACTCCAGGTGATGTCTTTCTAAAATGGAAGAGCCATGAAGCTTTGCTAGTGGAGCAGCTGATCTGTTAAAAAATACATAATTGTTTACAGTATTTTGAGGCAATATCTGTGATTCAGAATTCAGATTTTGGGGATTAAAATACTTCTGCTATTGATCTGTTTATTCAGTAGCTTAAAATATATCTTAAGCACTAGTATGAGGCAGAGCAAGAAGTATGGTTTTTTTGTCTTCACTCCTGTGATGGTAAAGACGGATTTAAGAGATTTCAGTGCTTGCTGAAAATCATCTGTACTTTGAAAATCTCTCTATTTATCTTGTATATTCCATTCTGCTGTTTGTTTGATCTACATGATTTCTGCGTATTTTAAAAATAATCTTAAGCCGTCGTTTAGTATTTATTGTGTGGCGTGACTTTTATCTGTAATTACGGTGGAGCATGTCCCCTGTGATTTTAACTTAATGTAAGTTGAATCTAAAGTAATAATATAATGGAATTTAATTCCTTTATCGCTTTGGCTCCTCCCTTCCCCCAGAATCACTGATTTATGAACTGTGCAAGTCCTGACTGCTCAGATGTCTTTAGTCTTATCACAGAGCTCAAAGAATCCCTCTGACCTTGGGCTAATCTTCAAGGTAATTCTGGTTCAGACTACAGCAGTGGGAGGAAGGGAGAAATATCCTATCTATGCTCCAGGTTGTTCTCCACACTGAGAAGTATATTTTCCTCCTTCTCTTGGCTAAAAAATTGTTTCCTGAGATAAACCAATGTGCATTGGTATAGGCTACCTGTGATTTCTGCCTTTGTAGATGAGGTCAAGTTCCAGGCTGTAGTGCTAAAGCAGATGGGTTTTATAAATAGCTTTACTGTGTATGACCTCAAGTAGAGGGCTTTCAGCTAGGGAAGACCATACTAGGAAGATTTAAAAACCCCTTAAACTTATTTGGATGAGAGGCAGTCAGCTGAATAAGAATCAGCATCTGTCATACTCTCTCTCCTACGTCACTTGGAGAATCCCAGAGAATAATCAGAAGATCCCCTAACGTCACTGCTCCAGCATGTCGTCTGAAACTCCTCTCCTGGGCTGAGTGTGTCCAGGGACAGAGGAGGAGGATGAATCATTCTGGAGATGCATTTAGTGGAAATAGTACTCTCAGAAAATTATGGTTTGAATCTCCTGGCCCACACGATATTCTGAGAATCCTGTGTTTTCTAGTGGCTAGCACACAGAAGAACTACCAAATCACTCAAAAAACTAAACAGTAGGTTGCTCACTCTTCAACAGTGGACCTCACCATGATTTGTAAAGCTGTAATAAACAGGTAAATTTAAAATAATATGGATTTATATTGTTTCATTATGATAATTTACTAAGAACTAGAGAAAGATCACAAGCAAGCCTTTTTGTACATTTAGAACACAAAGGAACGTGAATTGCAAAGCTTAACCTTGTGGTATATAACTTGCTGGTATGTGACCCCTGTGGCAGAAACCAAGCTCGTAGTTTTGCACTGTACATAATGTGAGGAGATTATATCTCAAAAAAGGACCTATGTCAATCAGTGATCTCACTGGAGGGAGCAAAAAAGCGAGGTGAATCAGCCAGTAGAACACTAAGAATGCACCTAAATTCCTGTCTCTAAGCTGGCCTTCGAATATTCCAGATCCTGAATCTCTCTCCAGAAAAATGCCTTTCCTCTATCTTGAAAGATAAATAAAAAACTCCAGTTAAGTACTTTCTACTCTTTTTATTGAAGCTAATTTTGACTTATCACTACTGTAACAAGACAGAGCACTGAAGTTTAATTTTGGAACTTCCTGACTAAGGCAGTCAGATAAGTAATAGAAGTTCATCTGCCATATGCTTAGATCGTCTATAGAGATTGATGATGCTTTCTTTTTAAAATCCTAAAAATTCCTTTTTGCTTCTTGTGATAGTTAAAACAACTGACTATCTTAAAAATGAACTGCAGCTCCAGCAGATCCTTCTAAGATTCTGCTTTTGAGGTTTCTCATTGTTTCAGTTGCCATGACAAATTCTCAGAGGCAGAAATCTTCTGTATGATGAGTATCAGTCAATGGCTTAGGTTGGAGGGGACCTTGAGGATTATCTAATTCCAACTCTCTGCCATGGGCAGGGTTGCCACTCACTAGATCTGGCTGCCCAGGATCTGATCTGACCTGGATTTATGTGCCTCCAGGGATGGGGCATCCACAGCTTCTCTGGGCAGTCTGTGCCAGTGCCTCTGAGTGAAAAAAAATTCTGCCTAATATCTAACCTAAATTTCCCCTCTTTTAAGTTTAAAGCCATTCCCCTTGTACTATCATAATCAGATCATGTAAAAAGTTAGTCTCCCTCCTACTTTCAAGCTTCCTTCAAGTATGGGAAGGCCACAATGATGTCTCACCAGTGCCTTCTCTTCTCCAAGCTAAACAAGCCCAGCTCCCTCAGCCTTTCAAGTCCCTTCATGCTAGATGTTTTTGCATGTGTTAACATGTTCTTCCTTTTGCCACTCAAAGTACTGCATAGCCCTATATTTGCATTTACCAAATCTGTTAATTTTACTTACTTCATTTGATACAAGTTATTGGTCCCTCTGTGATCAATGTCATGGCAGAAAGCAGCAGCAACCATGGCAAAGGCTTCTAGATCAGTGTAGTATTTCTTTATTCTACCTGTCTGTAAAGGAAAACAATTCTTACTGTGCACCTTCCTTGAAAGGAAAGCTAAGTAATGAATGTAAGGTTGATATTGGCGACATTACCATCAGCAAAGTAAACATTGTTTGTCCCACGTTGAATCCATGTCGCCAGTTGTGGTAAGTGATATCTCGATAACCCTTCCTGACTGTGTACATCCATCTTGTAAGGACCTAGTATGAATAAAAGTGATTGAGACTGTGCTGTTCACTGAAATGAAATTAATGGAATGTTCCGTAAAATTACTGGAATAATATGCTTTTTTTTAAAATGAAAATAATTAAACTGTGCATTATGTAAATGCATATTGATTTAATTCCTTAAGAGGTCAAGCAAGTTCAGGATCAATTTAAGTCTTTATAACAATTGTGCAAATATTAAGAATGTTGTTATTCATACCTCTCATGCTTTAGTATAGCTTACTCCTGTATTAAAGAACCTACAATCAGTCTGCTATGTTAAAAGAAATACAAATGACAAAATAAATCAAACCTCTGCTGGGACTTTGAACTTTTCAACAACATTTATCTCAAAGAACAGCCGTATTCCACAAGTTATCAAGCCGTGTTCTGTAACGGGAAAGTCACTGAAGCGAAATTCATATAGTTCTAAGTCTTTGGGATCGGGTAGTTCTTCTTTCTGTTAGGAAGAGTCAAAAGCAGAAGGATTTTTATGGCAAGTACAAAGTTGAACAAACTGTTTTCTTACTTCATTGGGAACACTGCATAAGGACAATATGCTTACTGTATCTTCAAAACCTAATATGTATTACATTTTGAAACACAATGGTGATACTAGTCTTCTCTTCCAAGAGGATGGGTAAGAATGTTACCTAGATGGTTTTTCTTCCTGCTCTTAATTTCAACACAATTGGTTGGGACCATCTCAGCATTTCCTCAATGAGGAAATCTCAGGTCTTGGGGTTCTTCCTTCCTGGTATAAAATCTTGTAATTTCTCCGCTTTAGCCTGGTCTCAGAGTTGCAGTTCTCTTTCACAACCAAAATTATTCAACAAGCCCTTCTCTTCACAATTAATAGTCTAAATCGTGAATAATCTTACATTTTGTCTGCCTGCAGTAGATTCTTGACTGCTTTGCTTTTGAATGATCTCAAACTAAAAATTCAAGGCTAAAATGTACAAAGCTTGTAGAGTTCAAAATTGTTATTGTTTACTTCATATCCCTTAGAGCCCTTTTTTACTGCTGTGGTTGGTGGTAAATTACGATTGTCTTCTGTAATTTACAACAGCCTGTTCTGAATAATTGTGCTTCTTGATGAAAATGAAAGCTCATTTCAGAAGTAGTGGACAGTGTAAGTTCATAATCTTATCCTACACATTCTAGGGGAAAATGGCCGGATGACATGCAGGGATATTTCTCTCCCTGAAGGGCAGATACAGAGCTTATGTCAGCTCTCTCATGAAGCGAAGAGCTTTCGAAAAGAATTCTAAAATTCGAGGGATCAAAAGGTTGAGAAGCTTGTACTAAATTTCAAAGTGCCTATTTTGTATACATTTTATAGATTCACATTAAATAGCCTCACTGGTGATAGTGGTATTGGCAAACTGTTCTGTAGCAGTTTTCATTTATATATCCCAAAAACCTAAGGAGAACAGCAGAATATTTGAAAGTATATGCCTTAAAAAAATAAAAAAATAATTCAGGGAAGTCTGATACAACCCAAAAATAGATTATATGATCACAGTGATTTTCTTCCATCACATAGTCAATAAATGATCTCCCTTACACAGATAAGGAAAGTTATAACAAAATCTATTTGCCCCTGGACAATGTATTTCAACAAATGAGGCTGAGCAACTATAGAACTGTATTTATTTCTCCCTTTGTTGAATTTCTCTTTAAATTTACTCTGATCTGAGGTCAAGGGCAAGGAAACATGTAACAGTGGTGTTTTAAGACCCATTACTTTGTGAATCATCAGATCTAGAAACACCTGCTTTATCTCATTAGCAATCTGGGATTCCAGGCCTTATAATAGGATAAAGCACTTGCATGTAGCCTTGGCAGTACAGAATATACTAGACCTTTTGATTTGTGACACCACTCTGTTGAAAGAACTCATTCTACTTGCTTTCTGGAATTTAAAAATTCATACAATATTATTACCTTTGGAAGCCTGCACTATCCTAATTACTTGTTGCTATACAAGTAGAAGGATTTGGTAAAGTTTATTGATGTTTACTTTAGCAAGTTTGTGAAGCATTGATGTGTTTTCGGTTTCACTACATACAGCTGCATGAATATCTTTTCTGTGGGAGCCAGTGAAACTTCAACACCATTGCGCTCTGGCATATACCTTAACTAGCAGTAGCTTCATGAGACCTGTTCCCTATGGCTATGACTACGTTAGCAAATGTGGTATAGTAGGAGGAAATATGTGTGGCTGGTAGTAGAAGTCAACCATCTTGCATGTATCTGATATTTCTTTTTTGGTCTGGTTCTGTATTGATACATTTACAGTAGAACTTCATTACTTTCCTGAAGTACACCTTTTGGTTTTATTTCAGTTAGACCATGTACGCTTCAGGACTGTTCTGCAAGGAAAAACAAAGTGCAGTAAGCGGGCACAAAAGCTGTTTTGCTTCAAGAAGGCATTCCCTTCTGGGCTGAAGTACCAAGGCAGAAGTGTACACAGTCTAGAAGGAAAATGGCTCATTTTTGTTTTAGCAGAAGGAGAGATTTAATTGCTTAGGTCAAATTTGTTTCAGCGCTGCAGAGTATCTTATTGCTGCATTTGGACTTCACCTAGAGAGATGCAGGATAGTTCATGGGAAAGTAGTTTTACTGGAAACTCCTGTATGTGTTCTCTTACTCAAAATGGAAGTGACCTTGCATCATTATACCTTCTGTTATTTTCAAAATGAAATAAATGTGTAGCACTGTTCATGTAGCATTCACCACTTTAAATGTTAATTGGTATAAATCTTTCTATATAACTCTGGCTCCAGGTCTATTAAAACATATATCGGAGACAGTGCTTCCTTGTAGGTAACAGTGGAGTCTGTACATGAAGAAACTGAAGAAGTCAAAGATATACTATTAAATTAGCTCCATCTAGTTGTGGAATTGATAGCTAGTATCAGTGGTATTAAGCAGAATTTATCTATATACAGCTTTTTGAATAAGAGCCATTGCTTTTTGATATCAACATTCTTCTGGAAGTCAAATTTTCATTTATTGACTTACCAAAATCCTGATAAGATCTTTTTCATCACATTCTTCTATACTCTTTACATTTAATTTCTCTTTGTATTTCTGAAAATGAAAATGAACAATACTTTCAGGTTTTGTATAGCAAATTTCCTACTTCAATTTTGTGGATAGAAACTCACCAGTATAGATTCAACTTCAGTAGGAGTAGCCTTTGTCTGGTACATAAGCATTTCCTGAGCAATGTCTTTTCTATTTTCAAGCTTGTTCATTTTATCATAAGTGTCAGTATTTAAAACAGACCACCCCAGGAACTGTGTAAGAGTCTGGAACAAAACAAAGCAAAGGTTAGGTGATAGCATGACAATAAAATTGAGCTGCCAATTTAAACTTAATTCTTAAAATTTACATTCTGGTCATGCTCTTTGAAAATCAACACTCAATTTGACCTGTTAGAAGACTTTACCTTCCCATCAACCGGTGCCATTTGACCTTCGCAGCTTTTAAGGATGTTGTTTGTTTCAACCCGTGCCCATATTCCTATCTTATATATTATAAATGCCCATATTCCCATCTTATATGCAGGAGTTTGAGGCTTATAAAGTTTAGGTTAGCTTGGGGGACTTCAACACAATGTGTAATATCATATCTTTCCAAAGTACATGATCTCCCATAGAGTTCATGATTGCAGGCATGTCCATTGGTAAGCAGCATGCCATGCCTGCTAATATTTGGCATTTGGACATTGTCCTTAATATTATGCTTCAACTTTTGGCTAGCCATGCGGTGGTCAGGCAGTTTGACTGGAAGATCTTCAAAAGTTCTTTGCATCTGAACTGTTCCATTCCATCCCATTTTTAACCCACTCACATTAATTATGAACGTGGACCATCATTAAAGACTCAAATGACTTAAAAATATCTGGCTTTGGTTCATTATTGGAATGTAAATGATCTCATAAATTTTCAGTTTTATAAACAGAGAAAAAAATCTCTCATTCTTAAGAAACTGTGGTGAGGAAGATAGTCTTTTGGTCAGATGTTAATATAGCCTGCTAAAAAATTGCTAAGTTAGCATCATATGGCTCCTTAGGGTCTGTAATCCTATTACACTTACTTCAATTATCTGTTCATCGTACTCATCAAAAGGTTTTCCATCTTTCCTGTTGTAGAATGTTGCAACTCCCACAATTTCTTCTTTTTTGTTGACAATAGGCAATGAAAGGACATTTTTGATAACCCATCCAGTCTCATCCACGGGTCCTTTCTATAGAAAAGGCAGGGAGGAGGAAATGTTGCATGTTTCTTTGAAAGTAGTAATACAGCTATTAATATAGGTTCTGTAACACTAAGTCCCATGAATCACAAAGAAAGGAGAAAATTTTCATGTACTCAATCATATAACTAATTTGTGGAAGGATTTAGCATATTTTTCCACTATGTTTATAACTATATATGTTACTTGAATTACCTGAAATGTGAAATATTCATCTGCTCGTGCATTCATCATGTTACAAATCTGCAATATAAAGAAAAGGAGACATTATTCAAAGAAAATATAGCATGCATCATGACTTGGCCTGTCTTTATTTTTTTTTTTTAAAGGATATATATTTTAAGCTAAAAGCAGTGAGCATCCTAGCTAGCTACAAAGAGTAAAACTGTTCCTATTAATTTAGTTGTGGGTATTCTTACGTATCATTTTAGAGCATTTACAACAAAGTGCCTCATGTATGGAACCTCACAATGCACAAGCATAAATGTTAAGAAAACTTCTGTGCCGGTTTTCAGTGACCTGGGGAATTGCAGAAGTAAATAATTTGAATACTACCTCAAAAGGCTAGGTATTTATTGCTATTAAAAGTGACATAGAGTTACTAATAGCTGTCATTCACAATGACTTTGAATTACATATCTTGGCTACGCTGTGTGCCATGCTAAAACAGTGCTGTACCAGTATGGAGCTGCACATACTTTCTGGCTGATTTGGCCCAGCCCACGTTTTCCAACTTACTGCTACATAGAAGACATGAGAAAAGGAAAGAAAAAACTTTTAATGGTGTATATTTAGACACTTACTGTGAGTAATAGTTCACACATTTGGAAAGAAATATGCACCATGCAAATTTATTCCTCTAATGTTACCATAATTCGAGGGAAATTTTCTTGGTATTTTGGATATTAGTGCTATGGGTTTGTCTCCATACAGGCTACTGATTCACATAACTTTGGAAGCAGTGCAGTATTTTTAGATAATTTGGGTATGGGAAGTATTTTTTCTTTTTTTTGTTCAATCAGAAGAACTTCATATATTAAGACATGTAGTTTTTACTTTTGGTATGAACTTACAAATCCATTTTCTGCAACATATGTTGGCAATCCACTGATAAGACACCAGTGATCTGCTGGAGGTGACCTTTAGAGAGAGAATGAAATTAGATGATTTTTGCAGATATAGATATGCTAGTATTCTATCTCAGCAATAAATCTAATTGCCACACATTAACAGGCTGCCCAGGAATACTCACGGAATGACTTTGATTTCTTCTTTCCCATGCAAGATGTAGTCAATAATCTTATAAAAGTTGATTTCCTAAACAAAAAGAGAAAAACATTTAAGTTACCTGTAGAAACTCAATGTCAAAGTTAAGATTCATTAAAAGAAAAATTTATATCCTCACTCTTCCATCAGGTGTCTTGGGACCTTTGTAAGGCTCTGCCTCCCCCAGCCGAATGGGCCATTCATCATAGAACTCCTGACAAAACAATACACAGATGTTAGCAAAATTAAAAATCTGTTCAGTGTTCAGAGATAACATGAGATTTATGGATAACAGTCTTATTTTTCTCTCTCCACAAGAGTTTTATGGACACGTTTCAGGAAAACAAACAAACAAACCACAAAGTATATTCCAGGCAAGAAATGGTAACCAGTAAATTTCAGACTAATATGAAGCTTGTCTCTTCATTTGTACACTTCAGTTGTTTTAGTAAATAGCAATTTTTTAAAGCAGTAATCAGACTACATTTCTCTCTTCTTTCTTTACTCAGGATTGTATGATAAATTCAAAAAATGATTTTATAATGTTTATCATGGTTGCATGCTTTGCCATTCTTATTTTGCACCTGATTGTTGTAACTCGGTTAGATTTTGTATAAATTATCTCAAAGGGTTAGAAAGGATTGTATCTTTATGTCTTGGAGCGATCTACATTAGAAATAGGCAGAACCAGTGAGTTAGAAGGACAGATTTTATAACTTACAATTAGGACACTTTTCTGGCAGGTAAGCAAAATGAATGTTACCTTCTCTTTAGTCATGTCCAGCAGACCAACAGAATATCTTTCACAGTTTAAATACATTCGAATAGTATACAGTGCTTTGTGAAACTGACGTTCTATGTCTGTTAGCTCTTCAAATACTTTGTTGGCAGACCACAACAGCATCTATTTACAACAAAAGAGAAAGAGAGTGAGTCAACAGTAAAATGCATTTGAATGGAACAAACAAACCATACGCATAGGAATGGCAGGCATCCCAAAATAAAGCAATAAGTTGAATTACTGTTATCAGAGAAATAAATAAATAAGATGCTTTTCTTACTCTAATAAGCATGTGAGACTGTTGGACAGTGAGAATAATGGTTTCATGCAAAAACAAAGTATCATCATTTACAAATTCTTCTATACCTGACTTCTTCGGGATTCAATGTTGTAGAGATATGAGGTGTGATGGTTTCTTAGGACCAAAGATATAAAATTGAGGTATTTTTTAAAGACCTAAAAATGACAAAACAAAAAGCCAAGAATAAGACATTTTCAAATCAAGAGGTAGATTCATTCAAACTATTTGGTGAACTAGTAACTGTGCTGTTGTATAATAGGAGATTATTACCTCTTCATCCTCTTTTGAGAACTCACTGGCGTTTAATTTGTTGAGAGCCATGACAACAGCAAGCACCTCTTTACCCTGCATGATTGGGATTGCCAACATATTGACAGTTGTATAACCAGTTTGTTTGTCCAGAAAGTCTGAAAAATGGTTATTCTGGAAGAAAAAAATATCGAAAACACAGTTTAAATACTTTACTTATTAGTCAATTATTATACCAAAAATAAATGGTTATTTTCTTTCATAATTTATATTTGCAATGATATAAGCACAATTTCACGGTGCAGTAAGCTGATACTGCCCAAATGATTATCATTATTTAATACAGTGTCACAAGGTTGCATGTAAATACATTTTTAAGAATTGGTTGTGAATGTGGATACCGCAACGAAGTTCAAGACAGATTTGAGGAATTAAAAGCTCAAATAAAGCGGAGAATAATATGAATTTGTGGGTATCTAATAGTCTAATGCATGTGGTGTGCATGTAAGAGATTTACTTCATAACTGTATTAATATTTATTATTATTTATTTATTTCTGTAGATAAAATGAATGATACTATCCCATCGCATGGTATTAAAAACTACGTGTGAAACTCTTTACAATCTTTGTGGCTGAAAATGCATCTGGCAGGGAGGCATCCCCAGCGGGTGCACACCTGACTTAGCCATGTGTTGTTGCTTTCTCTTTTTCTAGGAGAAAGCTATGGGGATGAATTCCTGATCTCTTAATATTTAAAAGGGGCCTGTATACACGAAGTGAGTGGAATCATCTGGACATAGCAGCTGAGTCTTAATTTCTTTAACTGAAGGTACAAGAAGTGATGCTTGGGAAGAAGCACTGTGGTCACAAGATTTTTAGAGATGGCTGGAAAATTTTAAAGGATGCAAGTCTATGTCAATAAACAAAAAGATCTGTAACCATAAGCCAACCTGAACTGTGCCTGGATAGTTCAGTGCAGATAGGTAAAAATACCTCATAATACGCTGATCACTCTTTCACAGCATATACAAAGATTTGAATCATATGATTTTTGTATGCAAGCAAAATTTTGTGTATTGATTTGGACCTTTCAATATTGAAAATTTTGCTTGTAATTGCTAGTAGTTTGTTCCCAGTCAAGATTTTAACATATTTTCTCTTGCGAACATAAGCTCCTTTGGCTTTGAAGAAAATCACTTTTCATAATGTCTGGAAAATCCTGTTCATAATCAAATAATCTTTTAGCATCAGAGCCAAAATAATGTCTTTCTGCTCCTATTGCTACTCCTACTTTCTGCTCCGATTATAAGGTAGACAATTTATTTGAGCCTGACCTTATAAGTGGAGCCATCTTTGAGTGCTGTTGTGAACTTTCAGCTTTCAGCTAAATCATAAAACAGACTAAAAAAGATGGGGGAAAGGAGGTTTGTTCATAATTCTCTACATTTGCAAGTGTTTTCTACTATCTCCTGTTGAAGCGAAGATACGTAGCCTCTGACTGTACCACAGTACCCTGTAGATACCTGCTAATCTGTGCAACGCATCCTGGACTTGCACTAAGCTAGGACCAGCTTACATGAGAGGAAAATCAGGACCCCTCTCTGTGTTTATCTTTCTGTTACAGGTGATTAAAAAGATGATTGGAGAGGGTTCTGACAGCTGACTGTTATTCTAGCCAGTTTACTTGAAATGACTAATTCATTTTTCTTCATTCTCTACACCAGGACACCAGCTTTATCTCATTGTAACTTACATATACTACAACTTACATATACTATATTATTATGATAAACCTTTTCCAATGAGTTACAAACACGATGCTCTATGTTTGCTTGATTTAGATGACTTTAGATAACTTTTATTTCTTTATGTTCTATTTAAATGGTAGCAGTGGAATTTACAAAAAAAGTAATTCACTGCTGTGAAGAGTGTGATTATACATCTGTGAAAGGGAAAAAGCAGTTATTTCTAAAAATATTTTTTATTTTCCTTAAATGGTGTTTTCTAATAAGCTTGCCTGCTGAGACACAGCTGACTGTGAACTGTAGCTACACAGCTGTAAGTTTGTGTTGGTAATAAGGTCCAATGGAGAAAAAAGTCACTTCTCTGGGAAACAGGGGTATTACAAAAAGAAAGTTAGTTTTCAGATAATAATAATTTAGATAATAATTTTCAATTACATAAATCACACTGTTTTGTTTTCAAAAATCAGTGTTACTGTATTGGTTCTGGAAAGTTATTATTGATGGACCATCTAGAAGAAGAAACCATCTTGTCTCTCTTTAATTTCATGGTTCTCCCTGCAGATCTTGATTTCTTTCTTAGGAGAGAGATGTTCATCTATGTACCCTTTTGCTATTTCTTTCCTGATGAATTCTGCCTCACTGGCTGGTTCCTTAAGCAAACTATTAAAAAAAAAAAAAAAAAGAGTTCTCCAGAATTTTTCACAGGCTTTATTCTGTGCCAAATTTAAAAGCATAATGAAGACCATTGTTCTAATGTTTGTTCAACCATTATATGGTATTTAATGATGGAACTGCATCTCTCAGTTCACAACATTATCTTAGGATTTGCAACACTCTGTTCCATAACACTGCACTGTCTTAAGCATTTCTGAATGGCAAAATGCAGCCTGAGTCAACTGAGCTTGACACTACTGGGAACCTCCACATCAAACTCCACAGCATAAATTAGTGAGTGTAAATTTGATCAGAAACATGCAAAATTATTCTAAGTAATGAGTGTGATCCTAGTTAATTTGGAAAGAAAGAGAAAGGGAGACATTTGAGAAGAAAATCAGTTGAAAGCATAAAGGAATATGGATCCTTCTTCCCTATTTGGTCAGTCAGGGTGAAGGCTGATTATGTTTGTTCATCTGAGGCAAGAGGAACAGCAGTTCAAAGTTGCCAATAAATGAGGTTTTTCACATTTTCAGTGTACTTTTTCCCTTTTGATTGCTTATTATCTGGTCCATCTTCAACATCTTCATTACACGTGTGATTTGCCTATTAGGAAATGAGACTTTTTCATGAACTTTGCTTCCTTGACTGGAGCCCTGCTTGGAAGCAATATGATGTAATGTTGTTTGTGTTTCACAGGCAACATTTACACCTTGGTTTGCACATCAACTCCCATTCAAAAAACTCTTCCAGTTTCTCTCTTACTGTGTAGCCTCAGTGATGCATCAGTAACTTACTGTGCAGCCAGTTCCCCATTTTAAGTTTGGCAAATTGCCTCTAACACCACAGTGGAGGAGAAATGGAAAGACTTAATCCTACAGCTGAGGTGGTAGTGCCAAGACAGCCAATGCCTATTTTCCTCCATCCTTCTGGGAGCCCATGCAGTTATGACTAATTTGTTACTATGCTCATTGTGGACTGGAGGTTCTGGGTTGCATAGGTGACTTCAGAGTGGCAAAATACATGGATGACAAGGAATGGGTCTGGAGCAGTATCACAGAATCATAGAGTGGCCTGGGTTGAAAAGGACCTCAAAGATCACCTAGTTTCGATCACCCTGCTGTGGGCAGGGTCACCGACCACCAGACAAGTAGTGGAGCAGAAAAACTACAGGAACTTCTGTAATTAGGAGCCAGTGTCACACTGTCATCTTAATTACATTTTTCTTTGCACCATCTTTACATGTTTCTGCTTTTCTTTGTGGTAGGCTTGCTGTATTTTTTCCTGTTCCTGATATTTTGTTCTTCCACTGATTCTCTTCCATGGGCTCAAATTCCTTAAAAAACATTTTTACTGCTGAGTTGTAGGGAATTGGTGTGTTATATTGCTGCACCTCACATTTCTGCTTATCTTAATTTCAAATTAAGATAAAACAAATGTGTTTGTTTTATAATGATGCACTTAATTATAAATGGATGCACTTAATTATAAAAGGTGTCTACCATCAGATAGGACAATATCATTGGTCTGATTCAAGACAAAAAAAAACAATTAGTTAAATTATTTGGTCATTCACTGGGCCATATTCAAAAATTTTTTATCAGGGATGTAGGACAGCTATAGTTTAACATGTAACTTGCTAGTGTTACAGAACAAATTGAATTTGATATCTTAAAGATCTCAAGAGTTTTGAAAATGAAAGCAAATAAAAATAGATAAGGATTTATCAGCATTTGAGGATTAAACATTTTCAGTCATGTCACTGACATTCCTGCTTTTTATTGCCAAAAGTAGCAGATGTTTTGCTTCTTTATGAAAATGAGTTTTTATTCCATGTCTTTGAGCAATTTTGTTCACATTAAACAAGAAAATAAGCCTAAAGGGGAATTTTTCACTTTAGTATTTAATTTTTATGTTTTCATTTTTCCTCTTTGAACACAAGTTAATTCAGGGAAAGAAGGAAAGATGTGAATTCCATCCCTCCCCCATTCCCCCCTTCCCCCCCTTCCCCCAAGCCGGAAAACATGATTAGTAGAAATTGGTTCCTGTATTAAAATATTTTCTTGAATGAAACTTTGTCTTTATAATAGATTGTAACAGATTTCCATTTTCCCATTTAATATTTGCTATTTTAATTATGAGTTTATGACAATGTTTTTAGTATCAAGATGGCAAAGGTGAAATAGAGGTGCAAATATTAACATGTAGACACAGTGCAAGTTCTAGGCAGGTAAAAATCTATCCCTCTGTTTTTTCCTTATGTTTAGTTTATGCTGGGAAGCATTCAGGAAGGCAATACTTTTGAAGCACTGTCTGAAGATGGACAGAAATAAGATGCTCTTCTAATTTCTTCTAATCCTAAGAATTTTGAGTTTGTTTCTCAAGAATTTCCCTTCAAAGTTGTTTTAACAATCTAACTGGCTTATTAAACCTTATTAAACTTACTGTGTTTCATCAATATGTTGAATATTTGGGTTTCTTCTTCAAGACCACATTCCTAGGGGATGAGAACTGAGACATCTCATTACAAAATGCCAGGCCTGCTACCCAGCTTAATCACAAAGTGACTCCCACTCTTCCTTCTTCTTCCTCCCTAATCCCTTCCCACTACCATTGTCAGGTCAGTGAGTTGTGTCATTTACCATCTTGCACTCTCCTGGGCTTCCCCAGTGCTTTGTATTTCTGACGTGGATGAGCACAATTCCATCAATCTGTTCTTGCCCTAGGATGCAGTCTAAGATCAATGCCAGGCCCCAGGACTACTGCTGTACTTTAACAGAATGACTGTATGCCCAGCAGCTGGACAACGGCTTGGTGTCTCACACTGCAGTGTGAGTGTTCATAGCACTGAGCTGCTACATCATGCTTCCACTTGCTCTCTTCTGTCTTCAGATAATCTTTAAGTTATTTTTACAATGCTGTGTAAATTATAGAAAGGGGATGGAGTGTCTCTTCTTCATTCCAGGCTCCAGAGTTTGATGCATTCCCATGACTGAAAATCCTGTCACTTCAGAAAGTCTCAATATGAAAACATCCCCCACTTTTTAATTGAAGAGAGATAGAGCTCCAGAAGAAAAGAATCATGGAAATGGAAGCTAGCTCAATTTACCAAGGGTTGATGCAGAAACTTATCGCTTGAAGATGTTTTTAAGATTGTTTTGCAGGTTCCCTGTGGTTAAATTAGGTGCCACAATGATCAGTGCTCTGGCTGTTCAATCTGAGATGGAAGCATTGAATTTCTCAGTGTTCTGTTGTTTATTCATTCATAATTCAAATACATAGTGGATAAAAGCAAATATATGTACTATATATGTTGGCTTTTTACAGGCTGAGAATGTGGGATTTTAATTCCTCAGTTCTTGTCTTACGTCTTAGTTCTATCTGGAAATGATATCCTAGGAAAAGATGTAACATAAAATCTTTATCATTTTGTCAGTGTTATCAGATAATTTTTATAGGATACTAATGGGCCTATCTGATTCTATGCAGTTTGTTATTTTATTTTGGAATGTTTAAGTAGCATACTCTACTCTGCTAGGCCTTGGGAACAATGTGAGGCCAATCATCACAGCAGTGGTCCTGCCTGCCTCCTATTTCTCACTGCTGTTAAATCCTGGATTAAATACTATTAGCTCTTGCTGTCAACAAGTCTTTAATCTTATGGGGGGGAGTCTGTTCTTGCTACTAAGTTAATTATGAAAGGTCTGTATCTTTTCCTCCTGCTTTTCTTTTCTGTAGCATTAGTCAGGATGAGGAGCTTCCTCACGTTTGTTGGTACTTTTCCAAGCTGAAGGAGGTAATCTCTCAAGAACTGGCTACCAGGCACTAAAAGTGAAGTCCCACGTTTTTTCAAAGATTGATTGCAGTTGTGATCTTTTGTTCTGTTCCCTCCTCTTATAAAGGGGTGGTGATTAAAGCACCACAGTGTCTCACTGTTTGACAGTGTTACCAGGAGCTTAAGACTTAAAAAAAAAAAAAAAGGCAAAGCTGTTATGCTGTTTGGATATGGATTGTGTCAGAAATAGAAAGTGGTTAGACATGACATCCTTACAGCACCGTAGCCATCATTCATTCTGCATTTTGTATTTGTTGTGCGTTTTGTACTCTAACAGGACATTGAGGCAAAATTCCTCTCAGATTTAACTCCACTTGTCTTTTTTTTTTGCTCAGGATTTAGGTAGTAGACAATCTAGTTTGACAGAGGTGCAGTCAAAGTGATTTGAAAATTAATGCTTGTTTCAAAATGATAAAGGCTTCAGTAGCTGACTTTCTTTTGCCATGGACTGACTATATTCCTTAAATCTTACTGGCTAAACTTGCACTTCTGTGATTTTTACAAAGATAAAGATTCTGATGACATTAGTAGGAGCTTTGCCTGTGCAGCGTGTGGATTTGGACACTGGATATTTTTTCTAATTGAATGAAAATGCTGATAGTAATAAGACCTTCATGTTAATTTTTACATAACAAATATTGGTTCCAGAAAAATCCCTTTGAGTTTCGTAATTACCTTGTAAAATGTTAACGCTTCAGTGACATTCAGTTACTAAATGTGGATTAATGGCTCTATGGTTTGGTTGTATTTTTTAAGTGTGGCCTAATGGCCACTCTGTCAGTAATCCTGAGAGAGTAAATGAATGCTGAAGATGGCTTCACAGTGGTTGAATAATAGATGAATAGGTATTCATCAAGCATTAATTAATTTATGCATGCAAAATGAATATTTAGCAGTGCTAGATAGACAAAGAGATTCTCTTGTTTACATTATATTTCTCACAAAATTTTGAACAAGTCGTACTGAAAGCACGGAAATATTTGAGTAGCCCTTCTCTGGGTGCCCCTCACATAATGATATTTAGGAGCTATGCAGTGTCTGATAAAAGGCACATCTTTCTTGATCCTCCTGATCTTTTCTCATGTAATCAGCCTTATGAATTTAGAAGGATTATCTTCCAATCTCCTAATGTGGTGGTAAAAGGCAGTCATATGCTTCTTGTCAGAGCAGAAGCCACCAAAGAAAGCCACCCAGTGGTTAAAAATCAACTGATTTGCTTTCTCAAATCAATCATTTTTCTGTTTATTTTCATGCTTCCTACTTATATATCTTAGATAGTTTACTATATAATGGAATGTTCTTTTCACACACATGCAGATTTTTGATTGTTTTTGATCTTTAAGAGTAGTACTTCCTTCCTTTATGCCTGCCAACTTTTAACATGACAAAATGTGTTACTTTTTGTTTACCTCCTGCAAAAAAATAGAAAATTGCAGTTTATGTAGGCATTCAGACACTGAGGTGGTTTCGGTCTCTAAAATCCTCTAGAATTTTAAATTGTCAATATAGGAAATATGGAAAACCAGATATTTTTCTGATATAGTCATCTTTACCACCATTTGATTACACTGAGCTTTTCCACAGAAGACTAAAAAGAGGTGAAGCTGCTGCCATGTTATGCTAGAAGGTTGGTTGCCTTTAAAGAAATCTACAACAATCAAAGCACTTTCGTCTTTCCCTATGTATTTCAAAGCCATTTATAAAGCAGTTCTTATTCATGCATTTCTGTCTGATTATTCAATATAATTTCCATGTAACATTTGTTATAACTCCTATCTGCACATTAAATAAACTAGGTAATTATGTGCAAATTCAACAAGAACTTTGAAAACAGCGGAGCAGCTCTTCTTCCACAGATGGTGCTGAACACATGCTGGATCTGGACACACTCATAATTTGAAACTACTTTAAATTCATAGAGAGTCATGAAGCCAGACGTATGTTGACACCATCTTCATCTGGGTTCATTTACACTGTAAGGAAGCACTCTAATTAAGAAAGCTACAAATACATTATATTCAGAGACGAGTGTATAGCACTATCAAATGATAGGGGACCTAGCAAACCTATACTGGAGAAAACAATAGGAGTCCCCTGCCTTGTTCAATAGAAACACAAGTACTTACTGGTCTATTAATATATTCTGATATATATCTGATATATTCTAATATATATATGATATTCTCCTTTGTTATTACAGTAAATCAGGTTTTGATTATTGTGCGAGGATACTAGAACTACTTCACTAGGCTACATGATGTGATACTGGGTTTTAAGCATTGTCTTCTGTTGCTTTTCTCTTGCTTATACCTGGATTGCTGTCTTGGGGATGTCTCTAAAGAATGACTCCAAACCCTCAAGCCCTTTGCAGAAAGAAAGCTGAGTAAGCAAATGCACAGAAACCCATCCCCCAGGGAAAATCACTCACCTTTTTCACATCAGGTATATTAAAAAACTTCTTGGTATGAGCAACCCATCCCGCTATCCCGATGTCCAAAGGGAAAACAGTTTCGTTGTCTGGATTCACCAAATTCTCCTCAAATTTGGAAGTTGGAGTGACATTGAGAAGCCTGGTAGCTACTTCTGGAATACCATTTCGGGAACGACAAATAAACATGCTACACCGATCGGCTGCCAGCAGCTGTGACAGCCTCTGCAGGGTTTTGTGCACAATCTTTTCCATAGAGCCTGCTTCATCCTGGATTTCTGTCAGCAGCTCAAAAAGTATGTTACACTCCTCCAGGCGAGACATGTCTTTGAAGCTTACTCCTTCCTTCACATCTCCAGGGCTCACTTGAAAGATACTTCCCAGCACTTCTGCCCTCATTTTGCGGTCAAAATATTCCTTGGCAAACTGGGGATTGTTCTCCAAGTATTTTTCAACAGCATCTTTATTTACCTCACCCATTTTTGCTGGATTGTTCTTAGGATTTCTTTCAGAACTTCATCACCATCAAAGCAGAAGTGGTAGCAAGAAGTACTAACTTGGTACTAGTAAGAAAACAGTACTTTGTACATACTGTACAAAGGCATAGTACATTCACCTTCCTCTGTGACTTCCAAGCCTTCTGAAACTCTTGAGATATGACAGAAGGCACTGGCTTAGTGTCTTCTTAGTGTGAGATCTTGGAGACTGCTAATTAAAGAGATGTCAGGACACTAAACCCCTAAGCATTCTTAGCTCATAAATCCCAAAGGAGTCATTTTAGTATTTGAAACTAGCCAATGAATTCTTAGACCTTATCAAATTGACTGAGATGTAGATGTAGTCTTGTAAGTTTTCTCATTCACTTGCAGTGGGTAAATTCAACTATACACCCAACATTTTCCATTGAAACTTAATTCCAGGAACTCCACTTAGATGCTTATCCTACATTGTACATGTGCACAGACATGTACACGTGTATTTGTGAGAGGTGCTTAAAGAGAGAAAAACAGAATGTTACAGATTTTTTTTAATTGTAAAATTTGTTTTTCCTTCATTATGTCAAGAGATGAATGAATTTATATTACTGAAAGTGAATAACTACCAAGTTATGTGTGCATAAAATGCATGAAATCCTAACGACTTTAAACAGTCTGAGCTTGGCCATGTCATTTACACAGGTAAAGATGAAATAAAGGAATGAGGATATGCTTAAGCACAAACAGACATGATTTCTATGTAAATGTTTGGTTTTTTTTTTTCAAAAATTATTAATCTAAATGAAATTGTGAAATCAGAAAATGGCTTGAATACAAGATTGAGTTCAGAATCCAACAAAATTCTTAGTCTATAAGCACAAATGACTAAATAGGGTTCTTCAAGCAATGCGGTTTCTTTTGTTCTTTCTTCAGAAAAAGTGGGTGATCTCTGCTCTCTTAATTGGCAGAAAAAATGGTAATAACTGACAGATACCGTGTGGAGAGGGAACCTTGAGATTGGTTGTAGTTTTATGGTATGTTTGAAGTTTCCTACCATTGGGAGTTTGTAATTGCTCATGTGGATTTTCTGTAAAGGGGAGGTGCAAAGAAGATGCAGGCAGGCTCTTTCTAGTGGGGCCCAGTGACAGGACAAAAACCAATGTTCCGTCAGTATATTTGGAAACACTTCTTTCACTGTGGAGGTGACAATCACCAGGGAAGGCTCAGGTTGGATATTAGGAAAAATTTCTTCTCTGAAAGAGCAGTCAGGTGCTGGAACAGGCTGCCCAGGGAGGTGGTTGAGTAACTGTCCCTGGAGGTGTCCAAGAAATGTTTAGATGTGGTACTAGGAGACATGGTTTAGCAGGGGAATATTGATGGTAGGTGAATGGTTGGACTAGATGAGCCTGGAGGTCTTTTCCAACCTTGGTGTTTCTGAGTCTATGAACTGATGTGGCAGGTTGCCTGGTGAGGATTTGGAGTCTCCCTCCTTGGACATATTCAAATTAAACAGAATGCTTGGATAGAGGTACCTTTCAGCATAAACCATTTTGTAAATGGAAAAGGAATGTTGAAAATTGTAGTTGATTTTAAGGGCTAACATCCGCTGGAGCAGATACAGATACCAGCAGAGCAGCAGAGCTGCAATATAATTCATCTTGGTTTATCTTTTTTGTTTGTTTGTTTGTTTCTGGTATCTACGTTGATCAAGAAGAGCAAAAAGAGATTCTTGGTATAAGAAAAATAGATCATATGTTTTTTGGCAATTCTTAATTTGAGAGGAGTAATTATCAAGGTACAACTTTATCTTAATGTTATCTGTGATATTACCATTTTTGTGCATACAATGGCATGTCACAAATATTTCACAACAATAGTAGTCTTCATTAGAAATTCCTTCATAATTCATCTTCAGATTGACAATGTATCTCACAATAGTTGGTCTATTATCTGCATCAGGCATAGTTTCAGTATGGGTACCTTCACAGTACTCTAGAAACTGGAGATTTTTAAGGAGTTACATAATTATACATTTGATTAAAAATGCATTGTGCATTGTATGTGTTGTTTCACTTAGATCCTTAAAAGTGCAGATTCACGTTATCTTCTGGTTCTGCCTCAAGCCACGTGGATTTTTTTGTCATCCTTTTGTTAACTAGAAGATTTCTGAATTTTGTTTCTTTGTTTCAGCTTAACCAGGGCACAAATATGGTTTCTTTGTGTTATGAAATGGTGTGTACACACAATAACACAAACACATAAGTATTATCATTTTAAAAACATTTGTATTGATTTCTTTTCTGGTTTTGTAAAAGTCAACCTTTAGTAAGCTATCTAGCAATTTCATTATCATGTGTGCTCATCTTTTAAAATATAGAACACATTGGATTGCTTATCATGATTCCACTACATCTAAATCACAACTGATGATAAATTACTCTATTTGTACTTTGAGTTGACAAGCGAAGCCTGTATTTTAATTAGCCTTTTCTGTATATGAGCTGATAAACTTTCTTTGTAAAAAAAGTATTTCAGATGTACCAGAATTATGTAATCTTTCTTAAATAATCATCTCTTTATTTTTTCCTCTTAATTAAGACTCACTCTTAGAATTGCACTCTTATTCTGTTAAGTGGTTGTGAAATGTCATGTAAAGAAGTATTAGAATCTGGTAGAAGTTCTTAATGAAGTTTATGTTTGGAAGAGGGCTAAGTTGGCTTTTTTCAGTAATTGTTAAATTAAGTCATGATATGTTTCATACTGAACTCTATGTACGTATTGATTAATCCTGAATATTAAGACTGTGCAGGAATAAGGCATTTGTTTTCTGTTCCAGCTTCTCTATTCTCATATTCCACAATATTGAATATTAGGTTTTTAGTAATGCAGGTTCACACTTGTATTTAAGATTATTTTGAAAATATGTTTGGTATGATTTCTTGCACTAAGGTCAATAATACCAGCTTTTAAGGAAATGCATTTTAATTTAGAGTCTGTTTTATGCATAGATGTTTGACGTTGGCAGCTAATCTTGCATTATCATTTTCACTGAACTTTTCAAGGCAAAGCTAATATACGTTTGGCCTTTATCTTCGTCCATGCTGAGGTGGTTTCAGTTTATAAACATAGTGGTGTTATATTTTTGCAAATTGTTTTAGTTGTAGAGAATACTGAAAGCATATGTACGTTGTGATTTTAATATATGTGGTGCATACATTTTCCTTTGATGTTCACATTCACTACAGAAATCAAAACTATTTATGGAATAGTTCTTAGTAGTAGACCATTGCTGAGCCCTTGTGATACATGGAAACTCCTAAGAAGGATAACTGGGAGACATGTTATTTAAATAGAAGCAAGTAGCACGTAAAAGTCTAAGGTATTTATAAGGTTTCCAGCTCAGTGTTTGCGTCTCAGTGTATCTATCTGTCTTTATAGCAGTTACTATGGTTAATTCGGTTTCAGAAGAAATACAGATCAGATGTGCTTATTTCAGTTGCATGGATTTCTGTGTGGATGATTTTGTGCCACTATTGGCATACAGGAAAAAATATAGTTCAGAAATATTGTTTCTAAATGACTGGGTTATTTATCTGATAGCTACCTATCCTATAGGTATTTACAGTCAGTACTGTGTGCCCCTAACAAAGACAGTTTTTGGCACTAAAATGGTTTGGTATCACTGATCTGGTACAAAACAATATCAACTTTTATGTTTCCTTTAAAATAATTCTCTAAGTGAAAAAGTAATCTTAAAAATTCAAATAGTAAAAATAGTAAATTATCTACTTTTTCTGTATTGACTGCAGGTTTTCACGATGCCTTAAATCAAGAATTAGCTTTCATGTTTCATTACACAAATAGTCAACAGGGATTTGCAGCCTCTCAGGGGAGTTCATGGAGTCCAGTCTAGCATGAAAGAGTTAGCTTGGTCTGCTGGATGCCCTCTAGATTTGACCATGGTGGGTTCCTTGCTAGCTTGGCTTGAATTTGAGTGTATGGACTAAGCAAAGGACAGCCTTTTGATCTTCATTTCATCCACTTTTGCACTTTTCCTTGGTGATCTCAGATTACCTGACCAATTTTAAATTTGTTTCTCACCAGTGAAATTGAATCAGTTTGTGTACAGTTACAGCAATGCTGCAGCAGATAATTGGCCTACTTGTGGGGAAGGCTTAGGAAACTGTTACACATACAGAAGTGTTCTTAAAGGTATTCATTCAATTATTTTTTGTATCATCAGTACATCATTGTTAAAGTTCTATGGGGTGTCTGAGAGTTTTGCAAGAACAAACAATTCTGACAGCTGACGACTAAAGACTATATCAAAAAGGAGTTAAAATATTTTGCAGAGGAATTATATTCATTTTTCCTATTTAAATCTAATGCTTTCCTTTCCTCTCTTAGCATGTAAGTTGTATGTTCATTTATCTAATCTAAGAAGTATTTGAACATATAATAAATCTCAATCCTGAAGAGCTATGAGGTGATATAATAATTTTAAAGGCAGTATGAGAAAATCTCACTTTTTTTTCTTACTGCTCTTACAGGCACAAATACCACAAATACTGATTTGCTCAAAATAGCATCAAAGGTAGGCAGCTATTGGATGAACAATTGCAAAGCTTTCACTGTGAAGAAGTCTTACAAGAAAACAGAGCTACTATGATGTATTAAAAAGAGAGGTATTTAATTGATAAACCATTTCTCTCTATTGCCCAGAAAATGTTTTCTGAAGGCAGTTCTCTGAATCATTTTTTGTTATTCAGTACTCTGGACAATAACCTCCCAGTGAATGCTTTCCTGGTTATCCATTATAGAATTTAACTGAAGGCAGGAAAACAAACTGGATAATTGGGAAACAGTTGATCCTTAATTATCATTTTATTATTATTATTTTTTTGTATTTAATGTTGACTGTGAGTTGCTTTTGGTTATTATCTCCTGTATAAACACAAATTGCTTATTATAGTCAGTATCATCCTAAAGCTCCTGAAAAGAATT